TCTGCTATTGATAAAGGTCATCAGCCCATTGTCAGCAGAAACAGTGTTAAGCCATACTGGCCCCTAGAATCCAAGAGGGGAGGGGACTTAGAGCAAAAGGTCTTTTTTTTTTTTTTTTTTTAATTCTTTAAGAAATCTATTTTTAATTCTTTAAGAAATCTAAGCCTGTCTCTCTTAACTAACTTAATAGGCCAATCAATAATAGAAATTACTAGATATATGATATGTGATTTAAATAATAAGTTTGCATATCCTTTTCCTTGTCTAGGGACTGAGGTAGCACTTTAGCAGGAAACCCAAGACTCCACTTTGACTGAGGCAAAAGGGACAGAGCTCTATGAAACCCCAGTAGGCAGGCACTTCAGCAAGAAGGAGATATGGAAGAAGCGATCTCCCATCCCTCAACATCCATACTCATAATAAGGGGGTTCATGACTCTTAGAAAAGAATTAGGCAAGAAAGTTAGTTACGGGGTTTCGGGTCTGCCTGCAAAGACACTGAAGTCGTCCTATCCTAGAAGGGGTCCGCCCTAATCAACCCACAATTAAGCAAGCCAAGTAGGCAAAGAATTAGATACCAGTTTAAGCCAGTCACTCACACCTACCTGCACAATGAAGACCCCAATGACCTTCAACTCACCTGAGCCTCATTAAACCATCATTATAATATGATGCAGATGCCCGAAAGTTCATTAATAATATTATGACAGACTGAATTCTAGGAACAAACATGCAAAGAAAGCAAAATGATGGATCACTGAGTCCTGACAATCTTAGTTGTCAATCAAGGAAGCCCACCTCTCTAAGAAAAGTGGCAGCCCACAGCAAATAGGGATGAAATCACCAGGCCTTCTCTTGTTCAGGCCTGCTTCCACATCTGGAAGTGTACTACCCCTGCTAATAAAGCTTTCCTACTGTATTTTGGTGTCTTGCTCAATTCTTTGGTAGAGACTTCAAGAGCTTGGACAATGCGCAACGAGGGGATCCCCATTCTCCAGTAACACCACTACCTTACAAAGTTAGGCTTATACTGGAGAGAGAGACATCAAAGAAAATTGTGTGCGGGGTAAGTGAAAGGGTCGGCACTTCAAAAAAAATATGTTCCTACGCAAAACAATAATTAAGCTGGCAAAAACTATTCAACTCAATTTTTTTAAAATTCTGGAATATAGAATTCAAGGAGAGTGTTTAATAAAGAAAGCAGCAGCTATATTTTAGTAAAAGGACATTGTGGCTTTTAAACTAACCTGCGTACTATTCCCTAATCCTCAACTTAGAGGTGGCTAGTATTTCTGGTATGATTAGCTGATGCCAGAGTGGAAAATAGAATTCTTGCTCTTACGGGCACCTAATGGTGGGTTTTGAAATATATGGGGCCTCCCCAAGGAACAGCTCAGGGATATGTCTTGTTTACCAGCCTCAAAATTTTCTCAGGGCTGGTACAGCTTGCTTCATGGTGTCAAATAACAGCCATAGCTACCTGTGCTAAAGAATAATAAACAATACAAATTGTAGACAGAATCAAAAACCTAGAAAGGAGGAAGTTAAAAGAAGATACATGGAATAATAGGGGCTTTGAAAAGGCTCCAGTTATTCCAGTGTATTTAGAAATCCAGCATATATCAGGTTCAGTACTATCCATGGTTTCAGGCATCCCCTGGAGGTCTTAGATGTATTCCCTACAGGTAAAGGGGGGACTTTTGTACAACCTTCTCAAAACAAATCACACTACAAAGCAGACAAAGTCATTAGTTAAAGAATTACAACCCACACAAGCAGCAACATGTCCAGGGCAGGATGTACATTCTGAAAAGACCTCAGAAGACTGTAATAACCCATTATTTTAAATATAACATCTGGTTGTGCACGAACTAGAGGAAGTAAAGTATGCTAAGGCAAATTTTAAATAGCCCAGCTAAGGATTAAGGGTTAAAGGAGATTACCAAACAAAGCCAATTTTACAAAGAACTGGAGGTATTCAACTTTTTGTTATTTTATTGCTCCAGGCTTTAAAGGAAATCTCTTTCAAATCACCAGATGACCGCCAAGCTAACAGAAGAGACTTTGGAAAAACACAAGACAAAGAATAGAGTATGATTATAATTAAAACTCAACTTATCCATAGTTCGGGGCAACCTGCAGTAAACCTGATGTGAAAATATTAAACAAAAAAATTAAACAAAAACGTCCAGAAATAAGTAATTCGTAAGTCTGTGCACCATTCTGAAGAGCAAGATGAAACTCAGGCCATCCGGCTTGTTTCTCCTAGTACATGATGAATCATCCCTTTGTCTAATGTAATCAAGTTGTATTGGCTACCCATTCATTAGAAACTTAGTAACCCTCTCCCAGTTATCTGACTCAAGGAACAGTGGTGCTTGTCTCAAGTCATCTTTATTTTACTTAATAATGTCCTCAAAACACAAGAGTAACGATGCTGGCATTTTGGATATGCCAAAGAGAAGGTGTAGGTCAAACGGTAAATATGTTCAACTTAAGAAAAGGAAAAAATCCTATGGCGAGGTTACTAAGATGTACGGTAAGAATGATCTTCCGTTAAATAGCAAAAAAGGAAAAAGGAATTCGTGCTAGTTTTGATGTCACATCTCAAACTACAAAAGTTATGGCCACATTATGTATTAAGTGATGAAATAAAATGGAAAAGGCGTTAAAATTTGTGGACAGAAGACATGAAAAGAAAACGTGTTCTGACAGCAAACGTGTTGTGCCAGACATCACTGGGCCTATGTGAAGACTTCAACATGGGATCATGTGAAATGAGTGACACCAAATCATTTACAGTAAATAAGGAATGTTTACACAGAATCAAGAGTAGATATGGAATGAAAAATAAATTACTAGAGAGAAAAAGTGAGAGATTACATTCACAAAACATTACAGTATATTGTTATAACTATTATATTTTTTATTATTGTTAAGTCTTACTGTACCTAATTTAAACTTTATCACAGGTATGTATGTGTAGGAAAAAACAGTATATGTCAGGTTCATTATTACCCATGGTTTCAGGCATCCCCTGGAGGTCTTAGATGTATTCTTCACAGGTAAAAGGGTGACTTTTGTGCAAACTTCACAAAACTCACTATACAAAACAGACAAAGTCACTAAATAAAGAACTACAATCCACACAAACAGCAACAACAAATAGAAGAGAACATGACTTCCAGAATTAAGCATTCACAACTGCTCATTCTTTACTGCCTTGTCTTGACCAAATTCTACTCAAGCTTCTCTCTTCCCCACAGACCCTGAATTCTGGCTTACCTATAATCGAGCGCTACAATACAGAATATACCCCTATTAATGGCTAATCCCAGGTCACATTTCCCATCATCTGCACCAATCACACTGTCTGCTCTCCTTTGCTGGCTCAATTTCCCCTTGAAAAGTATCTGCTAATCTTGCCTACCCTTCCCAACGAAAGAAAAATCATTCTGATTGAGATATTTTCACATTTCTTAAATCAGAATGTTCTCACTTCTGTCATAGTCTCTTTGAATAAGGTCTCTTATCTAAATCAGGAGGTTTTTTTGTTTGACAATCACGGTGTAACATTCAAAACACTGAGTTGCCAACAACAAAAAAAAATTACAAGTCACGTGAAGAAACATGAAGATTCCGGCAATTCACAGGAACATAGTAAGAGAAAATGTCCTTCAAGAAACCCTGGCACTGGACTTACTAAATACAGTTTAAATCAACTGTTGTAAATACACTCAGAGCTACAGAAAACCATGAACAAAGTAATAATGGAAATCAAGAAAACAATGTATGAATAAATAACAGTAAGAACAGAGATAGAAATTATAATAAAATGAACCGAACAGAAATTTTCAGATCTGAAAAGTTCAATAACTGCAATTAAAACTCACTAGACAAGTTTAAACAGCAGATTTTAGCCAGGGAGAAGAATCAGCAAACTGGAACTTAGGTTAACTAAAATTACGCAGTCTGAGAAACAAAAATTAAAAAGAAAAATCCACAGAACTTAAAAAACTTATCTGGCATAATTAAGCATACCAACATACACATAACAAGAGTCACAGGATGAGAAGAGACAGGAGACGAAAGAATATTTGAAAATAACAGCCAAAGACTGTCTTATATTTGATGAAAACCATTAACCTACATGTCTAAAAGGTTCTACAAACTCTATGTATGATAAAAACAAGACTTTCTTTCAAAATGAAAGAGACATTAAAATATTCTCAGATAAACAAAAGCTCCTAGTTGAACTGCATTAAAAAATATACAAATAAAGTCCTTCAGACAGAAATAAAAGAACATTATACATTAACTCAATGCCATACCAAAAAAATAAATAGTAAAGGTAAATGCACAAATATATAAAAACCAATATTTTGTATTTTGGGTTTGTAACTTTCCCTAGATGACTTAAAAAATAAATTTTCAAAAAAGTAATGATAAATCTACATTATGAACACATTATAGAGGTAAACTCTGACAAAACAAGGAAGAGAGTAGAACAGTGAAGAAGCAGACTTTTTATAACTACTAAAAGTTGATGTTAATTCATACTCATTTGCTATAAATTTAAGATGTGAACTGAAATACCTAGAAAAACACTAAGGAAATAACAATACAATGAATGGAAGAATAAATAAGAAGAAAATTAAAATGCTACACTACTAAAGAAGGCAGTAATGGAGAAAATGAGAAAAAGATTAAAGGCATATAGATAACAAATAGCAAAATAGAAGAAGGGCCCTGTCAATACTTACTTTTAAGTATAAATGGAGTAAACTCTCCAATCTAAACGCTAAAAAGTGACATTAATTTTTAAAAACCATAATTCAATTATATGCTATTTACAAGACTTTACAAAAAAGAAACAGATTGAAAGTAAAACACAAAATTATAAGCAAAAAAAGGTACAATGTCAGTCCTACAATTAGACAAAATAAAGCTGAAAGCAAATATTGAGACAAAGGCATTAAATGCTGATAAAAGGATGTCCATTAAAAGTATAAAACTGTAAACTTATCTGTAATTAACAGAACTCCAAATTATAGAAGCAAAAATGAACAGAACTGAAGGAAAAAATAGTTCTAAAATAACAGATCCCAATAAAGCCCCTCTCCTTAACTAAAAAGAGTGGAAGTCACTTTTCCTTTAATTTCCTTAATATTTTTAAAATATACAATTATACATTATTTCAAAAAAATATAGAGATTAAGTAGAAATATTTTCTCAAGTGACCCAGAAATTTTTAAAATTTGGGGTCATAAAGAACTTACCTAAAAGTGATTCTTACAAATGAGATATTCACCCAACTTTTTAAAGAGACGACTCAAAAACTAATACTAAATCATGTATTCCAATATCATGCCATAGTCAGTTAAAAGAGAGAAATCAAAAGTAGAAAGATACCCATAAAAGCGAGAAAAGGAAATGTAAAGTGAGTATACTAGATTCTATTTTTATCCAGCTATTAACCAGAAAGGATGCTCAAGGGACCATTACCTTAACCTTTTAATTGGTCATTTAAAATGCTAACTGATTAAACCTTTGCTCCTACTTCAACAAGTTTCTATACTCCTCTCAAACCGTATAAATAGGAACTTGTGTCCCAAATTGCAGTGTTTTTTTAATCAGAGTTGTCCCTCGGGAAAGGACTTACAAAACCACTGTCATCTAAAGTGACAATTTTTAATCCCTAAAGTAAATCCAAGCAACAGGACTTTTTCAATCCTGCAAGTAGTGGATCTTTGTTTCAGAATACAAGAAGAGGAAAACAGAAAGGTAACTGAGAACTAGTAATATCTTGCTACTGAGACAAATGAAAATACCTGACGTTAAGTTTCAAAATACATCTAATTCTTCACACTTGCTTAAACGTAAACTGGACCTTCTGAAGTTTATTAAAGATGTTAGAAAAATATTACTTTATAATATCACACAGAAGTTTCAATATGTTCAAAGAAAAGCCTTTCCCTGCAATTCTCCACTCCAGGGATTTGAAAACCGTACACTGATGGGTGATCGCGCGCCCTTTTTCGAATTCCAAGTAGCGGCTGCACAACAAGTGGGATTGTCCCATTCTGAAGGGCTCGATTTTCCTGTAGAGACAATACAAACTCCTTGACGTAGGTAAAAATGAGAAAGTACCAGCCTGCTTCTCAGATTGAGAAACCAAAGACCGGGCAGAGGAAGGGCTTCAAACATACACCAAAGGGAAAGAAGGGAGATAAGAAAAACGAAAAAAAATATGAATTAGAAAGACGAATTATTATGCGATGATGGTCCCACATTCTGTTGGGACCGAGGTCCTTCAAAATCATCTACGCGTACTTGAGCCCGTGTAGAAATGACGACAAGAGCCTCCGTCCTGGGAACCAAACTACCCTGTCAGCACCTCCCACTAGCCAGCGTGGAAGCGGAAAGCAAAGGAAAACGAGGAAAAGTGGGAGCAGCATAACCCCGGACCCCGCGCCATTATGTAAGTACGCAACAACTTCGCTTGTGGTGTCTTGGCTCACGGGGCCGAGCGTTCTGCGTTGCTGCGGAAAACCAAAGGAGGGCGAGTCTTTATCCCAGTCAGTGTGCCGACAGGGGCGCCTATCGCGGGGAGCACACGGACTGTGGGGCCTGGGAGAGAGTAAACAGGCCCCAGCGGCACCAGCCGCACGTGGTTGTCACATCTGGCACGCCCCCGCCTCAAACCTCTTATTCTAAGTCAGTACTATATTCTCTGCCTCCATCTCCATCTTCATTAGCCACGGGCCCAGAAACTCTAGCTATCCCCACTGCCCCATTTTTTTCAGACACCACCACAAATACACACCTGCTCCCACTGTCGTTACCGTGGGAGTAAACCTGTATGTTTGTCTCGTAGTTAAAGTTGGAGAGTGAAGAGGCAATCTTGTAAAAAGTAGGAACTCTTTTTCATCCTACACCGCCGCGGCTCCGCGGCAAACAGAGTATCTGCCTAAATAACCTGCTACAGGCTCTGTGGTTGTCCGACCCCTTCCGGTCTAAATCCTCTCCTCAGCAACGCCGCCTCTTTCCCGCGATGCCTCATTTACCTGCGTCGCCAAGACATGACGGAAGCAGTGAGATGCACAGTGCGACCCAGCAGCAAACGAGATCGTCGTGCTCTTGGTTTCCGAACACCAGCCACCAATGACCGTATGCGAGCCTCTCTCACGTGACAGGCGAAGATTGGCCCCCAGGGTATAGATTTGGATGGGGGTGGGGAGTAATGGAGGCGGCGCGGGACGTCTGGGCTAAAGGGCAAACATATAGCACGAGCCTGCGCAGACTGGGATAAACAATCTGAAACAATTGCCTGTCAAAGCAAGTTAGATACCTCATTAGCTCCGAGACCACGATCTGGATTTGAGCACAATTCTGCCTTCTACAAACAGAATAGCGCCCACTGTGCTGAGCGTGCAGCCTACTGGAACTTGTAGTTTTTTAGAAGGCTATGTACGTGTAATGAAAAGTTTAGAACAGGTTTAGAAGTATTGCGGTGTTTAGGCGGCCAGGAGGTCAGGATCATGTGATTTATGTTATTTAGTGAGGGCCGCGCCTGCTGCTTCATATTAGCCCAGTTTGGGAACAAGGAACTAAGGGGATTTACTTCACAAAAAAACGCAATAATGACTTTTCTCTCCACCAGAACCTTCACTGTCGTTTACCAGTCTAGAAGTATTGTGGAAATTCACCACAATCGTTCACTTTGGCCGACCAATATGGACTTCAAGCTCAGTGCTCCGCAATTTCTTGACGTTTAGAGCTTGTTAAATGCATCTCGTTTTTTTCATTACTTAGTTTTGTAACAGACTTGGTTTGCACTCGATTTTTTTTGTTATTGATGTGAAGTGTTGTTTAAAGATTCCTGAAGGATATTTTCTATTTTAATTTAATGGACTTGAACACCAAAAATATCATCCCTTGACCCCCGCTTTTGTTGTTATAATTCTCTCCATAAAACGCGCCGTTTTAAAGTGTGTAGTTCAGAAATTCTTACTGTGTATTAAGGTTGTGAAACCATCATTACTACAAATAATTCCAGAATATTTTCATCATCCTCAAAAAAAAAAAAATACTATTTAAAATTACTGCAGACTGTGTAAAGGGGTCAAATATGTGGAGAAAGAAATCTAACAATGAGAGGTGAACACAATGTAAACATATATATGCCTTACTGTTAAAATGTGCAGCTGAAACATCAGATTTCATTAATCGATGTCACTGTAAAAAAAGTTAATTTAGAAAACAAAAATAAAATTACTCTATTTTCTCCCTACACATCAGTGTAGGTAATTGCCAATTTTTACCAACATTTATTCTTTTTAATACAGCCAACCTAATGAGTGGGAAGTGGTATATTATTTTAATTTGTATTCCCATCATAGTGCTATTGAGGACTTTCTCATGTGTTTATGGGACATTTGTATACGTTTTTGAGAAAATGCCTAATCAGAGCTTTTGCCATTTTTAAACTTGGATTATCTTTTATTATTGGGGTAAAAGAGTTTTTTTTTGTAAAGCTTGGATATGAGTGCTGCATCAGATATTGTTTGCAAATACTTTTAAACATCCTGTAAGTTACATTTCACTTTCCTCATGATTTCTTACACCCACATAAGTTTTTAGTATTGATGAAACCCAATTAATTTATTTTACACTTGAGCTTTTGATGTGTGGTCATAGAAACCATTGCCCTATCCTAGGACATAATGATTTATGTCTATGTTTTTTCCTAAAAGTTGTATTGTTTCGGTTCTTATCTTTATAAACTGAAACCATTTTGAGTTAATTTTCGTATATGTTTTATGGTAGAGTCTAAGTTTATTTTTTTTACGTGATACCAAGTTATTCCAGCATCATAAATATGTGACTCTTCTCCATTTAGTGGTTTTGGCACCCTTGTTGAAAATTACTTGTTACTGTTTATTTCTGGAATTTTATTCCATTTGTGTACATACCTATCGTTCTGCGATTACAACACTGTATTTGCTTGGTAGTAAATTTTGAAATTCATTTATATAGTCCTCCAACTTTGTTTTCAGGATTGATTTGGTTTTTTGGGCCCCTTGTAACTTTAGGATCAGGTTGTGCATTTTCAGAAAAAACAAATACATATGTATTTTCTTAAATTTTTAAAATTCTTTTAAAATTTCTTTCAACGATATTTTGTAGTTTTCCTGTATAAGTCTAGCACTTTTTAAAATAAATGTATTCCAATATATTTTATTATTTTTAATGCTACTCTAAATAGCCTGTTTTCTTATTTTCATTTTTGTACTATTCATTTCTAATATATAGAAATACAAGTAGTTTTTTGAGTCAATCTTGTTTACTGAAGTTTTGCAGAATTCATTATGTGTGTGTGTGTGTGTGTGTGTGCATTTTCATTAGCATTTTCTATGTACAAGAGCATGTCTTGCAAATGGTACTACATCGTCCATTGCAAATATGGATGTCTCCAGTCATTCTGATTCTCCAAAGTTGGGTCCTCAGGAGTTTGGGGGATGTTTTGAGTCAAATAACTAAGACCTAACTTTTCAAGGTCAAAGTTATGTAAGGATGATGCAGGACAGGGCAAATTTCCCCAAGTGACAGGGAGACAAAGCCCTACACTCAGTAATCACGAGATTACTGAAGGTCCTTTGGCAAAGAGTGAAGAAAG